GGCGGTCGGTGAGGATCCACATTACTGAGACGCCAACAGGACAAAAACCAGACACATTAGTAAAATGTAGATACACTTGGGAAACTCTGAGCTCATGTTTTTCAGCTTCATTACTGTTGTTTTGTTATTGACAGGACCTTAAAGATTACCTGATTCATTGCTTGTATAAAATTCATTCAATATGTGAAGAGCAATGCCCAAAGTAAAGAGTTTTCAGCTTTTGTGGTGATGGTGCTTTAAAGAACCAGATAGCTTTTTTTAAGAACCAGAAGTGTTTTTGTTCTTGTGGTGTAAAGCTAATTATTTTTTTATTTTGTTTGTGACTGAATTTGAATCACAGTTTTTACATGTACATTGTACATACATATTACACAGTATGGTTCTTGTGTTTAAGGAGGATTTCCTTATGTTCTCTTTGAGGACAGGGAGTGCCGCTGTTTAACCCCTGAAATCCCCTCCTCCGTGTAGAGACAGAGTAATAACAGTGTAATTAATTATTTTGAAAGGGAACCAACCAAGGCAAGGCAGAACAACATAATGATAATATGAATAATAATGATGATTAAAAAAAGACATTTAAATATTTAAAAAATGAAAACATTCTTAAAAAGAGAAACAAAAAACACAATGACAGAAAATACAAACAGTACAAGTAGTCGGCATGTCAATCCAATTATAAAAAACGATTAAGAGTAATTTCACACTTACTTGTTGTACCAGATCAGAGAGGTGAGCAGACTCCCCAAGCAGAGGCCGGTGATTATCAGAGATAAACGTGACTTTAAGAGTTGTCCCCTCATGCCTCAACCCTTCTGCTAGCCTCAGCTGTCGGTCTTTGATTTCAGATTTCCTCTCCCTTCATCAGGACTGAACATTACACACATGTCCTCTTCAGCCCGCTCCTGTCAGACTGACTGATATCCTGCTGTGCCTTATCTTATCTTCTGACCATAATGAAGTAGTGTACAGTCATAAATTACAAAGAAGCAAATGTCGGTCCAGTATGTACACATCTATACACATCTGAGAAAGTCATTGATATATCAATGTTTATTTTATTTTTCATCAAATACCATTTTAAATTTTCAATGATGAAACATTTTCAAGCAAATCAAAGATGGCAGAGCAGAAGACCCTGATGATTTAACATGGAATAACCCTGTTCAGACCTCAGTGTTGTCAGCATGACTCTGAGACCCACCCAAGTCTGTGCCAAATAAGAAAAAGTGCTTCAAGTTAAATCTGCAATAATTTAACCATCAACCTACCAACATCTTACAACTGGGATCCATTTGGACCCCTCTGAAAATCTGTTGACTTATGATAAATAAAATTAAGATCCACTATTTTTATACAAAGGAATAGTTTTATTATGGAAGTACAAATTTCAACCCATCAAAGTATAAACTTCAAAGATAAATATCTAATTTGAACAGTTACTAATGGTGACAAAATATCTCTGAACACAGTATTTTTTATTTATTTATTTGTTTGTTTTTTAGAAATTTTAGTAACCTTTTTTTTTTTTTTTTTTTTTTAATGAATAACATATGGTTAAAAATGAATCCACAATTTGCTCAAGTTATACTAAGTTCTTATTTATAATGACATCACTCTGGTATTTTTTTGGATCCAGATACAGTATTGTGAGATGATTCAGAGACATTGCTCACAAACTGTCTGTTGGATGCTATGAGTTTGGCCCCTGCCATGCACTCCAGTTTGCCCCCGGCCTCTACCTCTACCCCTACCATGATCACTATCACGTTCAGGAGACTGGTTGTCTCCTTTGGTCAACAGATGCTGGTTCAAATGATTCGGAGTCACTGTAGTCAGATGGATCCGATATGTGATCATCTTCTTCCTCTGAAATGTCATTCTTCCAGGTCTTCATCTGCCTGTACAATATGTCTCATGGCTTGTACAACAGTGTATCTTGCTGGCCTTTCTCTGTTGGACTATATTCACAACAAACGCAGAGAGAACTATATGTGATGTGAAGTAAACATGTTGGAAAATTATCACTTTCAGATGGGTCCAGGTAGACCCCAATAGGAAATCGGCTCCTACCTCTCTAGAACACTCATGCATCTAAAAGTAACACATGTACAAGAACAAGCTCATATAGTCAAACAAACTCCTTAAACCCCAACTTTGTTGATGAAATAGACTCTGTAGATGAAATACACAATCCGTGGTTCAGTTGGACCCCAGCCAGTAGGATGAAGATAACAATAACTTATAAAGCACTTATTTCTCTCCAGAGGACTGTACCACGAAGCAAGTTTGAAACACCCAGACACTGAACACATCATGCGATTCTTCTTCTGCACAAAATGGACTCAATGGTGTCTCACTTACTTCAGTAAACAGGTTGCTATGATGGAAAACAATGTAAAATATAAAAATGTATGATATTTAATGCTGCTACTGCATATGATGCATGACAAGACTGCTGGTCGAAAACTTCTACTGATCAATGCAGCTGCTTATTTCTAACTGACAGCTGCACATTAGAGCTGTTAAACTTTAAACTTCATATATTTAAACATGACACTGTAGTGAAGTACATTTTGGTCTGACACTGTCCCATGATGCAGGATATCACTTTAATTTTTGGCCAAATCAAAGTCAAATTAATGTTATTGATTAAATGTTCTATGTAATAAATACCAGTGGCAGAATCAATGTTTTAATCTGTTCTATTAACTGCAGTACCAGCAGTGTAAACACATTAGGCAGTAATCAGGACCAAACATAAAAACATATTCATGTGTTTTCTGCTATCACCAGCTGAATACATGTCAGGTTCCCATGAAAACAT